GGACGGCAGGAACTACTGGTTTTCTTTCTAAGTCTTTTGGTTCTATTCGACTTTTGAACTATGTGCCCATTTTACTTTTATTTTTTAAAAAGTGTAATTATGGACAGAAAAAGAAAAAATGGTTGAAACAATAAATTCTAATTGCCAGATAAAAGAGAGATGAGGGGAGGAAAATCCTACAGAGCGAAGTTGAGCACAGAAATTTGTGTCTAGAGCGGAATGGGCTCTAAGAGCAGACACAGAATCATGAATGATGACGCACATGCACCCTGAGAAGAAGGAGCTCTGAATTTGTTCCTTTGCAGGCTTGTTTCACTCAAGATGTAGGCACCCTCCTGGTGATAATGGAGTGGGGGATGCTTTCAACACTTTCCAGATCTGATCACTGTACCCCAGGGCAGAACCTGAAGGAAGGAGTTTGCTGGAACCAACCTTTGTCTCAGAAAAACAAGGCTTGGTGAGGAGTGATGGAGAATGGGGCAACTAGTCATGAGAGTGTGTTGAAAAAGTCACTCGAGTTTGTTAAGCTGCCATCCACCCTTCCGATGTCAGCATGACATCACCCGCCATTCTCCATTTACCAGTCTAGTCTAAAGACTATATGACAATCAATGGTCCCTGTCCAGTTCCACTCAGGGAAACTAAGAGAAAGTTCCCTCTTCCACCCCTTTGAGGAAGCATGAGCATCAGTCTGTCTGAGTGCTTTGGGGAAGAGAACACACAACAATCGATCTTAACTGAGTCCCTTCTATGTGCTAGACATGCAATGTACACCTTCTCATGCAACGTACCCGCTGCTTTAGGTGGGTGTAACTTATCTATATTTCTCAGATGAGGGAATGGGTGGCAAAGCTAATAAGAAGTGGAAATGAGACTTGACACTATCTACGTGACTTCAAAGTCTCTCAGATTGAGAAATGGATGTAGAAAAAACAGAGGGACACACATGAAGTCAAGTCTTACAGTGTAGCAATAACACTTATCCTAATGAGGCACCAGCTGGAGTGCTTTCACTCCAGAATCATCTCTGCCCTTTTTCAGGTATCTAGAAACTTTTGCCTCTCTCCCTACTACCCATGCCCGTCTAAGATTCCTTGGATTTTGCCATTTATATACCCTTTTTATAAAAGATTTTATTTATTTATTTTAGAGAGCGATCACAAGCACATGAGCAGGGGGGGCAGGCAGAGGGACTGGGAGAGGCCCAGGATCTCAAGCAGACTTTGTGCTGGGTGCCAAGCATGATGCAGGGCTCGATCTCAGGACCCTCAGATCATGGCCTGAGCCAAAACCAAGAGTCGGATGCCCGACTGACTGCGCCACCCAGGTGCCCGCTATTTTTATGCTTCAAGATTAGATGTGTGAGTGTCCACAAGACAGAGGGGAATGTGCCCAGATTTTGTCAGCACTGGCTTCCATGGCCTACCTTTCCTCCCTCCCTCCTGGGGGCCAGAGACTGACTTGTCAGAGTCCGGCTCAACCCTCTGCCCTCCTCCCCCTTCCCACAAAAGTCCTGATGGGTTTGGTTGGGCTGGTCATCCATAGCCTTGGACCCTTTGGGGCATGTAATATGTTCCCTTGGGGCTGGGGCAAAGAAACAGAGCATAGGGCCCCTATTCAAGGGCCCCCAGGTTGGGAACAGCGGCCAGGAGGACGGGCAAATGGAAATCAGGTGGCACCAAGGCCTTTATTTACTCACACTGCTTTCCCTGGAACACTACTACCACTTACTAGCAGCTACCATTAATTCTGTGCATATTAGGAACTTGGTACTTCTTACCTAATTCTTCTTAGCTCCACTTTACAGATGAGCAGTTTGAAGCAGCTGAGGCTCAGAAACATGGCCGCGCTCATCTTGTTAGTGAGCACGGAGCTGACATTTGCACTTCCAACCTTGTTCCGGCCCTTGCTACTGACTTTAACTTTTCCAGCTCTAGACCTAAGTTCTTTTTTCAGGAACCCTTGACAAGAGTGGGTTGTAATTCAAGGATAGGAGAACTGAAGTATTTTCAAGGTTACCGAACGATACGTAAAAAATTCACGTGTGTCAGCATTTCCTACAAAAGGAATTCATGATTGGGAAGGGATTACAATATTTCCATTCATGTGTGATAATTCTTTTTTTGCCAAGTATAGATAACTACTGTGATTGAAATAGCTATTATATATATTATATATCTCATATATCTCTAATATGAGGAAAATAAATGTTGTTTTAAATTTCATGCAAGGACATTGAATTCTTTTTTTTTTTTTTTTAAAGATTTTATTTTTAAGTGATCTCTACACCCAACGGGGGCTCGAACTGACAATACTGAGATCAAGAGTCACATGCTCTACTGACCGAGTCAGCCAGGTGCCCCAAGGAGGACATCAAATTCTGATCATGTTTTTTCAATCTCTGATTTATGGGGTCTCATTCTAACTAAAACAAGTGAAAAAGGACATTATTTCCTACAAATTTTGGAATCGAGTTCATCCCTGAGTTTTCTGATGCTTATATCAACCTTGAAAAGCATCCTTAACAATTATTCTGTTAGCCAACATTTGTAATGTGCTCCTTGGCCTCCTTCTTCCTTGCAGAGACATTCTTTTTGCTGATGAACCTCACTCTTAGTCTTTCTTCTGCTTTCTTATGAGAACATAAACACCTGGCATTTCTCTATTGACAAACATTCCCCTGAAAATTAAATTAAAAAAGAACATTAAGAATCTGCTCTCGGGGCACCTGGGTGGCTCAGTCAGTTGGGCATCTGGTCATGATCTTCAGCTCAGGTCATGTTCTCAGGGTCCTGGGATTCAGCCCCACATCAGGCTCCCTGCTCAGCAAGGAGTCTGCTTCTTCCTCTCCCTGGGCCCCTCCCGGGCCCCTCCCCGCCACTTGTGCTCTCTCTCTCAAATAAATAAATGAAATCTTTAAAAAAAAAAAAAAAAAGAAAGAAAAGAAGCTGCTCTTAAGCCTCCACTACCTGTTTTATTTTTTTAATGGCTGCCCCCTGGCTCCTCCGTTAAGCCAGGTACTCTGCGGGGGTGTGAAGTGCCTCCATCAGTCAAAATCTACGGTGAACCTATAATAAAACATGGTTTTCAAACTGGGTTCCCTGGAGCCCTTGGGGACTCCAAGGGGATCCCTTGGAGGGGCTGGGGGACAGCAGGCTCTGGGTCCATGTGTGATGGGAGCAGAGCGGAGCTGGCTTTAGGTGGAGCAGGTCTCTGCTTTTATACTGGGTACCGTGTAAGGTTTTGTGGGAATAAAAAAGCTCTGCAGCCACAAAGAAGCTGGAAAGCCACTGTGCAAAGACTTGAAACCCCGCCTGGAAATCTGGAAGAGAACTGCCTGCTTAACCCTAAAGCTCAGGAAAGGTAATAAATATCCTTCACCAAATTCTGGCGTTACTGTGAGTAGTAGTTATAAAATGATCCTGCAAAATGACGTGACATGGAAGTCAGCGGCAACACCACGGCGATGTTGATGACGCAGGCAACGTGTGCGGGTGGCCATTCCATCCGACCGTGTCCTCCGGCACCTGAAGCCGACCTTGGCGGTTCCGGCAGAGGGACTCTGGCTATTGAACGGGATCAGGCTTGCACCAAAGTGGAAGGCAGGAGGGTGAGAACCCGGCAGATCCGTACCAACTGTCATCAAATACCTGTTTTTGCTTTAAAAATCAACTCCTTCCTTCTCTTTTGTAACTGTGTTCTCTTAATGCCTGCTTGCTGACCGGACAATTACCCTTTGAGATTCACGCTGTACGCCTTAAAAATGATCAGATAATACCACTATCTGCACTTCTCATTATTTTATTATTAATATTTCCTTTTCATGAAGTTATGGATATCCGAGTCTCTTATCTTCTAAACTCTGAATTCTTGAAAGGCAGGATCTAATTGCACTCATCTCTGCGCTGACATAGTTCAGGCATACTTGGGAGATAGCACGGGGCTGGTTCTAGACCACCGCCATAAGGGCAATATCGAAATAAAGCAAATTGAATACATTTTTTTGGCTTCCCAGTGCCTATAAAAGTTACATTTACATTATACTGCAGTCTATTAAGTGTACAATAGCATTATACCTGATGTACATGCTTTAAATAAAAAATACTTTATTGACACAGAGACACAAAGTGAGCAAACGCTGTTGGAAAAATGGCACCGACGGACTTGCCCGATGCAGGGTTGCCACAAACCTTCAATTTGTACCAAAAAAAAAAAAAAAAAAAGTGCAATATCTGCAAAGAGCAATAAAGTGAAGCACCATAAAAAGGTGGTATGCTGGTACCTTGCTTATGGAACAAGCACTAGATAAATATTTTCGGATGAAGGGCTCCCTGTCCTATTACCTGGAAATTGGTCGGCTGCTCAGCACTCCACTGCCCATCAAAACAGACGTGCATGGATTTTAAATCACTCTTAATCCAAATGGGTTTTAATTCTGTTTTCTGTTCTTTCCTCTCTGTCCAGGTCAACCAAATAAAACCCCAAACAGATGGCTCAGCTTTCTTGGTGTGGAGGGAGATGTAAGGACAAACAGCCTCTGTGATGCCAATTTTCCTTTCGCCCTGATCATAAGAGGGTTGTGAGAAAAAACCCACAAAATACTGTGGCAAATGGGCTCCTAAGGTATGAACACCACCCCACTCTCTGCACCAGGAGCGTACAACTCATCTAAAAACTCACGCAACCGGAGAGTTGCCCAGGGCTGATATGTCATCTTCCACGTATTAATTTCCAGATTAGTCTTGCTCGGTCTGATAAAGGTCTGCTATGAAGATGAAGATGATGATGATGATGATGATAATGACAGCAGTAAAATCCACCAACTGCTATGTGGCGGGCACTGGCTGAGCCCCTTATGCCCACGATCTCACTTAAACTTCACAACCGCGTTAGGAGGTAGGACTATTACGACTCTTGTCTGCCATGTGATCAGACCACACACAACCCGGCAAGTCACCTGACCTAGGACTCAGGGCTTCTATTGCCAAAGTGGGACTTACCTAGGAAGCACAGAGTTAGGTGGCCTGGATTTTGCAGGGGAGGCGACTTTCGGTTCTGGCCCAGAGCTTCCTGAAGGTCCTGGCAGAGAGTCCTGCGCCGGCCCGGGTTGGTTTGGAAGTACTTCCCTCGCCGAAGTCAGGAGATGCTCTTTATCTTTCACTTCTTTTTCCCGGGACTTGGCTTTGTGTTCGGCCAGAAGGAGGTCAAATTGCTTTTTCCGGCCTGGGACTGCCCTCCGATGGCTTAGCGAATGTGTCTAAGGAGAAGAGAGATGAAAAGCACAGCCTCTTTGATCAGCACATAAACCTGCTTCCCCAGGCCCTCCATTTCAGAAACAGCAATTCATGGGAATTTAGAGGTGCTTGAAAAGTCAACTTCAAGGCCACAGCTCCCGTTCTGTGGCTGGGAAGAGGCAGACACCACGCAAACGCAACCATGCCCTACACTCCTGGCGTTAAGAAGCCAAAGCTTCCTCCAAAAAAAAAAAAAACAAAAAAGCAACAACAACTGGCACAGGATGACGAGCTTCAGCGCAGAGCCCACGGAAACCTCTCGGAGGAAAGGCGACGGTGAGGATGCGCTAGAGTTAATCCAGGTGCAGGTGGGAGGCTCGCTGTGGCCCAGACCCACAGAGCCACCAGGCGGAGGGGGCCACGGCCTCGATCCCAAGAAGCACTAGTAGTTCAGCATGAAATACAGGGCTGGGGGCTACCCGATGGCGGCCGCCTTGGGTCAGCTGTCCCCCTGGCCACCCGGCGTGGCCGGATCAGGGGCGCGGCTGCTGGTCTTCCCCTCCACGGCTGCCTTTCAGGCCGCCGCCGCCGCCGCTCCTGCATACATTAAAACGTAGCAGGGTTTAGAACCGCCTGTGAGTGCCTATAAATACAATTTACTGTCTGGCCTCACAAGTAACAGGGGAAGCCTATTTTTTTTTTTCCTTCTTAAAAAGCCAGCCAGCTTGAGGCAGGCACTCTGCTACCATGGAAGAGAAGAAAGCATTTCCCTTACAAAGAACAGCTGGGGGTCATGTCGAGGTTCCACACCCTGCCGTGTGCAGAGAGTGGCATGCAAACATTTCGACAAAGGCCCCAGCGAGAGCAGGAAGTATTTTTTATGGAAAGAGAAATACCTTGCAGGTGAGGGATCTTGTGCAAGGTTTCTTTGTCTCGGGATCCAATACTCCACAGTGTTTATTTGGGTCAAATTCTCTCTCTGGTTTAAGAAACAAACAAAAAATATAAGAAAAAAGGAGACTAAATAGGATTTGGCATTAAGACTACATTTAAAAAAAAATGCACATTTGCACCAACAAGTGAGACATTGTCAGGCAATCTGGTTTTTTGTTTTTCTTTTCTTTTCTCTTTTTTTTTTTTCCAACCGGCTGCTAAAATGCTTCAAGAACCACTCAGGGGAAAATGGCACTCCCCTCTGACCCCAGAGTTCCAAGTCCAGCTTCGGTCGGGATGCGGGATGCAGCACAAGGCACGGGGACTGGGTGGGGGTGGGGGGGGCAGGCACCGAGGGCAGGGAGCCCTGATGCTCGCACACTTTATTTCACTTAAACGGTTCCCCAAGCACTTGGCACTTCGGGTGTAGCTGACTGCAGACCAGGGAGAGTCACCTGAGGCCTGAGGGCCACTTTTTCCTGGGCAGCTCCAAGAATACGTCACCTTCCCCCAGCCCCTTGCCTTCCCGCTAGTTCTCACCATTTAAGTGGGAGATTATTCCTTGCCATGTGAGTGTGACCCCCCTCTCTTGTGCTTTGCAAAGTCCTCAGCACCGGGCTTTCCACACAGCCCTGCCCAGAATTCTGGACCTGATTCAGGAATGTTTGGCGGTGTCACAGGCGGGGGCAGGGGGAACGTCTGGGTGTGTGCTGTCTGAGCATCTGAAGTTGAAGGTGCACAGAGGGCAAGACCTGCTGTCTCACAGCTTGCTTGCTCCCAGCATGGCGCCTGTTGCCTCCAAATGGGAATGAGCCATGCTAGCCAACCCAGTGGGGATGAAGGATGGCTGCAAGGAGGCCAGGTTTTCTCTAGTTTCTGCCTACTTACTGGACTGTTGATGATGGCTCATGGTGACGTTACTTCTAAGGAGCCTACTCTTTCCATGCCCACTTTGGATCCTTTGCCCCTCCTGGGTTACCAAAATGCTCCCCTCCCCGGAAAATGAGGGGACCTGAGACCATCCCTTAAGGACCCTTTCGGCTTCAAAGGTCCACGTCTTGGGGAGTCCGTCCGTGCTATTTCTGGAAGGCACCCAGCAACCACCTGAGCCCTGCAGCACAGGGAAGACAAAGCTCTGTGGGCATTCGGGGAGGCAGGCAACAGTGTCGGTGGGTGGGGGTTGTATATCAGTTTGGCGGGATGTCTCCTTAAGAGGTTTGAATGGCTGCAAACTAAAAAGAGCTTACCTGAAAAGCTGCCTGAGATTGGTGGGGGAACTCTGAGCATAATAAATGAATGTGTTCTGTTTTTAATAGAAAGTCTGGGGCCTGTGGTGGTTGCAACTGTGGTCATGATGACGGCTGCAATAAAAACCATTCTTAGGTCCAAAGACAGGTTTCCCAGCTGGTCATCAAAATGCCTCCCACCCCCTTCTTTTGGCTTTTGTCACTGTCATCATCATCATCTTCCTGGTTAAAGATTTTGTTTTTAGTAATCTCTACACCCAGTGTGGGGCTCGAACTCGTGCCCCGGAGATCAAGAGTCTCATGCTCTTCTGACTGAGCCAGCCAGGGGCTCCCCACCAACTTTTTTTTTTTTTTTTTTTAGCTTCTCTTTTAAGACTAGAGAACTGCGAGGTTTGGAGATGCCTGTTTCCTCCAAGCCCTCTCTGCCCATCGAGGAGGGCCTGGGCGCCAGGCCCCAGGCTGCCTGCCACTGAGTTCTTCCCCTTGGGCCTGCCAGAGTCAGACCCGGGCCCGGATCCACACCAGCGCTCACGCTGGCCTACAACTGAGCAGGTTGTTTGGCCAGGGCGTAGGAGCTGGCTGCCAAATGTGGAAGTGAGATAGAAACAAGCAAAAGACCCAATGAGACAAAACAACCAACAAAATGCAGAACCAACAAACACCAAAAAACCCCCCAACAAACGCTCTACAACTTCAGGTTGGGGCGCAGGCTGGAAGCCATGGTCATGCTTCTATCTCTGGACACTGCCCAGCTGGGCCTACTGGTTTTTCCAGGGATGTTGCCACCCACCTCTGCGGAGTGAACTTCAACTTTCCATCCAGGAAGAGAGCCAGGAGCTGGGGGCTCCTGTCCACACTGGCCCCCCCTGCCCCCGCAATGCTCAAAGAGAACGCCAGGCGCTACCTTTCTTTCTTGAGAGTGGGTGAACAGTACATAGGGAGATTTTTAGGGTAAACATCTTTTGCATGCTTTGGGTCCAAAGAGCTTTTAAGAAATTATTTTTTTTTAACAGTTACAGATGTAAGATAAAAAACCTGAAATACAGATTAACACGAAGTAAAAAATAAAAAGGACCCATAAGTCTTAGGCTGATTCAGAACTATGCTCCTACTGGAGGGCATAGTTCCTCTCTCTTACCAGGTGGCTTTCACTGTATTTTCTTTTCTTTTTTTTTTTTCCAGTCAACATTTGATAAATGCCCCTGGTGTATGAAGAAGTTATAAAGTTTATAGCTTTTCTTGGTCTTTTGGAGAAAGCAGAACTGCCAGATTTAGTTCCACAACAAATCCAAAGCAAACATCATCCACATGGGGGCCCCTAAGGGCAACCAATGCCTCCAAGTTCGGCCCTGTGCACCTTTCTGGGCATCCCGACTGTCTACGCAGACAACCGAGAAGGATATCCGAGAGAAACCCCTCAACCTCGCACCAGCTGTGCCAGCCTAAATGTTCCCAAATGGGAATTCTGACCTGATTATGTGGGAAAGGCAGTCGTAGCCCCAGACTACAGAATCAACCAGGCAGCCAACTAAAACCCAAGCACAGAACGGGGCAGACAGACTCACGGTCCTGTCCCATGTCGGCCCTGACCTACTGTGAGGTATCCATCCCTGTGGTTGTCCAGCTTCCCTGCAGGGAGGCTTCTACGGAACCCGGGGCAGGTACAGCCCGTCAGCCTGATAAGACCCTCAGACTGCATGGGCTGTCGTGGTTGGTGTAAGGCATCCTGCCTCCTGGGCCGGGAGGACCCCTCCTGCTGAGCACTGAGCCGAGAGCGAGAGCCCTCGTGTGGCCCGGAAATAAGAGAACCTCGTTCTCCCTCGCATTTGTAGGTGGGGAGTTCCTGTTGGCAGGTAAATCCTGTGTTCCCCTTACAACGAAACGGACCTGCTCAGTGATAAGAACACAGCACTCCTTGGTCATGGATGTGACTCAGATGCAGTCTAATCGTGAGCCAGACTTGAAGGACACAGACACGTACCTGAAAGTCTCCTGTAAGGCTTGTTGTTGTTTTTGGTGCCATTTTGGTGTTTCTTGTCTATTGTGGCGGACAAAATTCCTTTGCCATTTAAGATCTTCTCTGGGGAAGGTGGCACTGACTTGGACATCAAGACCGGCTTAATTAAAGGTGGGGTGGAGACAGCAGAGGACGAGGTGGAGCAGGAGGTGACCACGGTAGTGGTTGTAGAGTTCATTTTGACATTGGCACCATCTGCCTTCACTAGGTTAGGAATTTTCTCTAAACTGACTACAGGAACCGGAACGCTGAAAAATAAATGAACAAACACACACAATTGCCTTCTTTGATACATGTGGTCCGCTGAGAAGCTAGACGCGCTTATCGTCATCAGAACACTTCCTTATCACTTATTTATATTCCTCTTATAAGTGAGCAGCAGGATTCCCGTTGGGATAGAAGGGAGAGCCGTGCTGTGGAAAGGACCAGCCGGGGGTCGAGGCTGGCTCAGCGCCAGGGCTGGCATCAGAGCTGACTCCCTCCTGTACCGGGTTGTCCCCATAGATCCTGCAGCTTCCCCCTTCTCAGTCCCTCTCTGCCGGTGGTCTCGGAGACAGCACCTTGGGCAGAACAAGGTGCCCACTGGGAAGCTCGGGGAGAGATGCTGTGTGTCCCCTGACGACGGTGTGCTACGGTGCCACTTGCTGAATCACGTCCCCTCCCCCTGCTGCTTGCCGGTCTCCCACCTCGGCGAGCAGGCCCGACATCTGCTTAGCTTGGGCGTGCTGACAGGCTCATACCACACGGAGGCATGGCAGCAGGCCAGTGCACCATGGTACATGCAGCTGGAGGACTTCTGGAGCACTCATACCCTGGGGGTGGGTTCAAACGGAGCGAGGCACCGTGTAACATTATCGAATGTTCCATTTTAGGCAGCTAGTTATGTAAATAGGCAATTCTCAAGGCTGGCAGGTGAGAGGATGAATTTTAAGAAGACAGAGCACAAAGGTGCATGTTTGCTCTTCAAAATCTGTCACCTCAGCTCCACTTCCCTAGGATTTCTACTGTAATGGATATGCATTTGATTTCTGTGCATTTAATGCTGGAGGACCCTGTATCTGGGCGGCGGTGGAGGAGTCTGTCTCGGGGTCTTAAAAGATGAGATGAGATGAATACGCTTTCCTTTGGTTCCTGAACTAGATTCCCTTTCCTCCTTGCAGGAGGGCAGAACACTAACACTTCAGCCCCCCAATCATCTCTGAGCTGAGTGGAGCCGACTTAGCTATTTGAATGCCAAATGATCTAGAATATAGCTTATACATGCCTGCAGACAATGTAGGGCATGAAAGAGAGGCTGGTTTTGCAGGGGAGGAGTCTTATCTGTCCACAGGGCTGGCGAGCTCTTCCTTCTCTACGATTTATTCACAGGTCATTTTTTTTGGTCAGTTTGTCCAGGAAATTATTTCAGCAACCCCTCAGCCCTTGCCCCTTTGCTGACTCTGAAACCGATCACAGATGTTATTTATAGGTTTTTGCCAGTGAGAAGGGCACTCGGTGGTGAAGCAGATTGTAGCTGGATTTCCCCGACTATCCTGGAACCACGTGCTTTCTTGGCCTGGGGAGGGATGGTGTGGGACTTCAAGTCCCGTGTGAGGGGAAACTGGAACAGTGGGTTTTAGTAATACACCAAGTCCCTGATAATTCCGCCTTTGATCAGTGTCTCAATCACGGAGATAGAGCTAGATTGCTGCCACTTTCTATTTAATGGCAATTCTCAGAGCACTCACATATGGCTGAAGAATGGCACAAGAAGCCCTTGAAAAGTCAGCACACTGAGAAGCTGGAAAGATATTACCTGTGCTGCATTCCTGATTTTTTCCGAATGGTAAAAAAAAAAAGTAAAACCATGGGATATGGAATTCTTCTAGGCTTCCTTCACTCAATTTTAAGAGACACTAACACAACTCAGGATCTTGAAGAGCCATTCCCCCACCTGTGTTCACAGCGGCACAATTCAAATACTGTCCATTGGTGGATGACTGGATAAGCAAAATGTGGGCTAGCCATACAATTGAATATTATTCAGCCGTAAAAAGGAAGGAAATTCTGACACACGGATGAACACTGAGAACACTACGCTAAGTGAAATAAGCCAGTCAGAGAAAGACGAATACTATAGGATTCCACTTATATAAGGTGCCTAGAGGGGTCAAATTCCGAGACAGAAAGTAGAAAGGTGGCTGTAAGAGCTGGGGGAGGAGAAAATGGGGAGCTGTTGGTCCATGGGTATAAAGTTGCAGTTTTGCAAGATGAAGAGTTCTGGAGATTGGCTGCACGACACTGTGAATGTACTTAACACTGTTGCACTATATATTAAAAATGGTTAGGATGGTAAATTTTCTTTTTTCTTTCCTTCTTTTTTAAAAAAAATCAATTCAATTATTTTATTAAAGATCTATTTATTTTAGAGAGACAGAGAGCATGCAAGAGTGAGGGAGGGAAGGGGCAGAGGGAGAGAATCTCAAACAGACTCCCCACTGAGTGTGGAGCCTGACACAGGGCTTGATCCCACAACCTGAGAGAGCATGACCCGAGTTGGATGTTCAACCCACTGAGCCACCCAGGCACTCCCCACTTTTTTTTTTTTTTAGAGAGAGAGTGTGTGTGCACGTGTGCATGCACAGTGGGGTGGAGGGTATGATGGAGGGGCAGAGGGAGAGGGAGAAAGAGAATCTTAAGCAGACTCCCTGCAGAGTACAGAGCCCGATGCGGGGCTCAATCTCACGACCCTGAGATCATGACCTGAGCCAAAATCAAGAGTCGGACGCTTAACTGACTGACCCACCCAGGCGTCCAGGATGGTAAATTTTCTTATGTGTATTTTGCCACAATTAAAAATATAATCCAACCCCCCCAAATTCATGCAACTTAAATTATACATCAATATCCTGACTTTAAAAATACACATTATAAAAGCCTGCTTAAAAAGCTCTTATTGATTTAGTCACCTTTGTTCTGATCTGTTGATTTTTATTTTTTTAAAGAAAGAAGTTAAACTTCAAGTGTTGATGGAATACCAGGTGGGAAGATTCTCTAGTGCCCGAGTGGCCTTCTCTGATATACTTCTTCGTGAAGCCCAGTAAATTCAGGAAAAGAAATTAGGACCCTTGGGTTTCAAGGCTAGCTCTTGTCCCATGAGCTGGTATGAGAAAAGGGAAGGCCTCCAGTTTCTGTGAAAAATGGCCAGGGCACATGTTGAGTACCATGATTTTAGCATATGATGTTGGGATAGGATAATCCAGAGCAATTGTATGAACTGAAATAAGTTTAAAAACTGAGCCAAATGGTCCTCAGATGCTCACAGTATAGTCTGCGTTTCTCCCCTAAAGTCAATGTCCAGCTCCAATGGGCTCCTTAATTCAGCCACAAGAGCACAGGTACACTAGGTCCAGCCATTTGGAACAGTGCCAGGTGACTCATCTCTTTGGTGATGCTTCTTCCCAACTGTGTGTTAGTAACTGAGCTTGAGCCAGGCCAGCTAATATCTGTGACTGATCTCCTAATTAGAAATTTTCTCCACTATGTAACAAGTGTGGTTCATTCATACCCTGTACTGCTTCCAGAACTCTAGCTGGACTTCAATCCCAACGTCCGTAGGCAGGGTGTGGATTTGGAGCCCATCAGAAACTAGAAGAGAAGGCTAATGTGAAGTTCTTTGGATTGAGTTTTCTTGCATTGGAATGGGAGGTATTAGGGGGAAAAAGTCTGATCTAAGAGTGTTTCAAAGGGTTCCAAAGACGACGTGAGTAGTAAGGGGCTGAGCCACTGAGTAAACGCCTCTGATACCAGGTGGATGGGCTCCATGTTGGCAGTGGGAAGAGGATAGGAGACTCTAGGTGTTTTGGGTGAGAATTCTAAGGGTGTCTAGTAACAAATAGAGAACGGATGTATATAGAATGAAGGAGGAGAGGGACGCCTGGGTGGCTCAGTCAGTTAAGCATCTGCCTTGGGCTTGGGTCATGATCCCAGGGTCCTGGGATCAAGTCCTGCATCAGTCTCCTTGCTCATTGGGGAGCCTGCTTCTCCCTCTGCCCCTCCCCCTGCTTGTACCCCACCCCCAACAAATAAATAAATAAAATCTTCAAAAAGAATGGAGGAGTAAGCTCTATATCCAATGTGAGGCTCGAACTCACAACCCCAAGATCAAGAGTCACATGCTCTTCTGACTGAGCCAGCTAGGCAACCCTGACCTGGATACTTTTATCTTTGGTGTCCCTTCTGCCCCGCTTTCGGGCTTCCCTTCTAAGGTAACCTGCCTCTGGTCTGAGCTGAGAAGGTACTTCTGCTGGGAGGTAAAAGAAGGCAGGGAAGCAGGCAGCTCAGTGATGGCGGGAAGGGGCACACCCATCCCCAAAAGAAACGAGAATCAGAGAGAGAGAGAGGGTTTCCCGTTTGCTCTTGCCAACCTCATTCCCCAGGATAAATGTCAGCCATCCATCCACTGGGATATTTAGTCTCTTTTCTTCACCACTGTTGGCAGTAGCCCTCAGATCCTAAACTGATGAACAAAGGAGGAAATGACCGCAAGACGGTGCCACTCGATTTGGAAAACCAATCCCAGAGACTCCATCTTTTTTCAGCTACGAGCTCAGGAAGGTGCGGAGAGCCCTGGCTTCCCACGCACACAGATCCCCGCGTGTGTCTACACTCCAGGGCATGGGAGTGCGGCCGTCTGGAAGCCATGGCCTCAGAACCACATCCTGCTTTCTCCCACTGTCCCCTCTCTCACTGTTCCCCACTTCCCCTCCCATCACCCCTGGCCAGTACAGCGTCCCAGCCCTGGGCAGTGGACCCCGAGTAACAGGTTTCATTTTTTTCCACTGGAAAGAAGCCAGAAGATGCTGACCCCTGCTTTCACGGTGCGGGCATCTCCCCCATGTGGGATCCCGGTAACTCACACACCTCTGTGTGCTGTTGGGCGCTGGGAGGGGTGGGGGGCTGGCGACACCCGGATGACTAAGCAGATTCATTATTCTGTGTGCTTAGGTGCTGCACAAGCCTGGCAGTGACCCCTGAGGTTGGCCGAAGCCCCTCAGGTTCCGTCCCTCTCCATCTGGAGGGGTGCACGCACGCAGTCTCCCAATCACCTCACTATTGACCTTCCTTGGAGGAGCAGTGTCTGAAAGGGAAAGAGGAGTCCCCGCTGCTCTCATAATGCCTGTTTTGTCCACTGGGGATGAACTCTTTTGGGGAGCCCAGGACTGCAGCTTGTTCCCCTGCTGCGCCGAACACACTGGGAGTCGTCAGC